TCGTGGTAGGCTACAGTCCATGGGGTCGCAAAGAGTTGGACACGAATGAACGACTTCACTTTCATGGAGGATGTAAAGTATGAAAAACACTGCTTGGTGGTTTTCCTCTCCTATAATGTCTCTGTCTGTTTTTGCTTCCAGGGCAGTGCTGGCCTCACAGAAGGAGACAAAAAGCATTCCCTCCCCTTCTGTCTGCTGAAAGAGTCTTTGTCAGATTGGTAAGGATTTTAACTACAAATTCAACTTCTTTAATATAGTTACGCAGGTTATACATTTGCTCTTGAGTAAATTTGGTGGTTTATGTTTTTCAAGGGGCTTGTTCATTTTATTGAGGCTGTCAAATTTATTAGCATAATATTATTCACAATACTCCTTATTACCCTTTCAACATCTATAGGATCTGTAATATGTCCTCTTTTACATCCAACTAATGCTTCCCTTGGGGCTCAGCTGGTAAAGAATCCGCCTGCAATGTGGGAGACATGGGTTCAATCCCTGGGTTGGGAAGATGCCCTGGAGAAGGGAAAGGGTACCCACTCCAGTATTCTGGCCTGGAGAATTCCATGGACTATCCATAGGGTCTCAAAGAGTTGGACACGACTGAGCGACTTTCTTTCACTTTCAGTGATAATTAATGTTCCCCCTCGCCCCCAGACAAGAGATCTTTCTGGATAAAATATGCATCTTTATCAGTTTACCTTCAAATAATACCACTTGAAACACAGTGTATTGCACTTTCATTTCTTCACTCCCAAACTTTGTGCTCCTATTGTCAGTTATTTCCCTCTACAAGTATTGTAAGTTCTAAAATACACTGTTAATTTTGCTTTAAATAATCTAAAAAAAAAAAGATTAAAGTGTGAATATTCACCAATCCATGGACTATTTCCAATTCTTCTCATTCCTTTGGGTAAAAATTTCCATCTGCTATCATCTTCCTACTACTTGAACTTCCTTTAAAATTTCTTGTAGTACACTTCAGCTGGCAATAAATCCTGCCAGCATTTCTTGGTCCAGAAATTTTTATTTCACTTTCACTTTGAAAGATATTTTCACTGGGTACAGAATGATAAACTAACAGGTTTCTTCCTTTTGGCACTTTAAACACAGCACTGTTGTCTGCTGGCTGGCAACAGGTTCTGATGAGAAGTCACTGATGTTATTTTTGTCCCTCTGTAACATGTCTTCTTGCTGCTTTTTAGGACTTTTTTCTCTTCATCACTGATTTTTCAGCAACTGGACTGTGTGGACCTTGGTATGATTTTCTTTGTTTACTCTATTTGGAGTTTGTGAGCTTCACGGTTTGCAATTTTCATCAAATGTGGACATTCTTCAGCCACTATGTCTTCAAATACTGTTTTCATTCCTTCCTCTTCTTCTGGAACTCTAGTTACACGGATCAGTTGATTTTGTCCCACATGTCACTAATGCTCTGTTACTCTTCTTTATTCTTTGCACCATATTTTGGATAATTTCTATTGCTATGTCTTGAAGTTCACTGATCTTTTCTTCTGTACTGCCAATTTGCTATTAATCTCTGTATTTTTCACCTCTAAAGTCCTAGTTCAGTCTTTCTCATATCTGTCACTCATGCTTGTTTTCCTCATGAGTGCGTACAACTTATTTATAACAGTTATTTTACTGTCTTTGTCTGCTAATCTCACAGCTTTCTACTGATTGATTTTCCTCCTGGTTACTATCATATTTTCTTGCTTCTCTGCATGCCTGGTAATTTTTATTAGATGCTGGACACTGAAACTTTTTTACATTGTTGGGTGCTGGATTTTACAGCATCATTTTAAGTACAGCTGGGGCTTTGTTCTGGAAATGCAGTTAAGTTACCCAGAATCAGGCAGGGCAGGTGTGTAGTGGTCTTTCAGTCCTTGACTAATTCAGCCCCATTGCTACAGTGATACCCTTCTGATGCCCTAAACCAAAGAGCTGTTCTGAATCCACCCTCGCAAAGATTAAAAAACCACGCTTTAAAAGGGCCTGACACACCACCAAAGTGGGAACACAAACCATCCCAGCACGTGTGACGTCCACTCCTCTCTGGGGCTTCTCTTCCTGGCTCTGAGGGGCTTTCTCTGGGGCAGGTGTAGACCGACACTCAGCCCAAATCCTGGGGGTGGGGACCCTTCTGCAGACCCCTGGGGTTCACTAAGTAGCTCTCTACTCTCTTACACGTTGCCCCTCAAATCCCAGCTGCCTCTCCTCCCCCAACTCTGGCCTGTTTTGTCTCCAGTAAGGCTAGGGGGCTCTGTGTGGTTTCTCTCTCCCTGACCTGCAATGCAGAAACTGTCTCTAGACCAGGACTGGCAAACTATAGCCCGAGGATTAAATCCAACTTGCTGCTGGTTTTTTTTTTTTTATATACTTCTCTTGGAAAAAAAGTAAATTCATATTTATTAAGGTTTACTCTGTGTTAGTTATAATTTTATGCATGTTGCTGTTTTTATAAATAAAGTTTTATTGGAACACATCCATGGCCACTCATTTACATAACTGGTACGAAAGCAGCCACAGACAATAGCAGAGTTGAATGGGGTTGTGATAGAGACCATCTGGTCTGCAAAGCCTAGAGATTCACTAACTGGCCCTTTATTTTAAAAAGTTTGTTTACTCCTAGCCCTAAAGAATAAGCTAGAATACTTACAGGGCTCATTCCATTTGCTTCCATTTGTTTGTTATTTCAGAGAACACAATCCTAACCTTCCTGTTAACCAATGTCTGAAAACTGTTGCTCCATACATTGCGTCCAGTTTCAAGTTTGTTAAGGTGAAAGTCAGCTCTGGGACCAGGGTGAGGTTAGTGAAGCACTTGCCTGAGGTACAAATTTTTAGGGAGTGACAAAAAACTCAGTAATAGGGGTAAAATCAAAATTAATGCAAAAAATCTATATGAAGCAAAATATCAAAAATTTAAATAAGGATAGTATCAGTAATAGTGTGAAGCCAAGCCATACTGGAGCTGAAGCAAAAGGAAAAATTAATACTGACCCTGTCTATTTAAAATTTGACTTTTTTCCATCATGGATTTTTTTTTTTTGCATCAGATTCGATTTTCTCAAAGTACTGCATTAAAATGTTACTAATCTCAATTACTGAGTTTTCCGGGCACCCTGAAGTTCTGCACCTGAGGCCTCACTCTCCTCAGCCCTCCTGCTGTGTGACTTTTCTCGGCCCCGAGGGCTGCAGCCCACCCGGCTCCTCTGTCCAAGGGGTTCTTCAGGCAACAATACTGGAGCAGGTTGCCATGCCTTCCTCCAGGTGATCTTCCCAATCCAGGGGTCAAACCAGCGTCTCTTACACTGCCGGTAATGGGCAAGTGGTTCTTTACTACTTAGCGCCACCTGGGAAGCCTCCAGCCCAATCCTGGTGGGCAGTAAACCTGATGTCTGTTATTCCATCAAAGGGGGAATGGACAACTCCAGGAACAAGCCTCTTGCCAAGCAGAATCATACTAATGTGTTACGACTACAAGGGTTTCAATGCTTTCTTTCTCAGGAACAGAAAATGCTGCAATGTGAAGAGCCATTCTGCTCTAATTACCTCTATCTGCAACTGCAGTCTTCTATGAACAGTTCCCATACATATCCATGTTGTAGAGAGGAACACAGTGTAAGAATATAAACACTTATCATTAAATAATATATATGCACACAGACAATGGGATTACAAAACAATATCATAATTATATAACATCGAGTCAACACATCTGCATTATGACACATAACACAGCAACCACCCACAGCAAGTGCTCCCGAGTCAGTGTATTGATTGGTGAAAGCAGGAGTCCAGCCTCTGAACACACGAATTCAACTAAAATCAAATCAACCAGCAAAATCCCTGTCCTGGTGCTGTGGCAGCACCGTCCTTCGGAAGCCAGCCGGCTCATTTCCCGAGGATTCCCAGCTCCGGCGCCTCTACAGTGAATGGGGCAGAAAAGCACTGGGCAGACAGAAGACCGCCCCATCCATGTGCCAAGTAAAGAACCTCTACACAGAGTCCAGTGTCTACACAGGATTTATGTAACTTTCTAAGGCACAGGTGCAAAAACAAGCCTTTAAGTGCGATGACCAAAGTGAGCATTTTTCTTTTAGATTTTTACTGCAGTAGCTGCTTTACGATGCGGTGCTAGTTTCTTCCATTACAGAAAAGTGGCTCGGGTACACCTCCCTTATATACATGACCTCTTCTCCTTGGAGTCCCTGCCCAGCCAGCTCACCACAGTGCCCTGGGAGCTCCCCGCGCTACACAGCAGGTCCTCGCTAGCTATCTATCAGTATTTCCGGCATCGTACCAGCAGTGTGTACGTGTCAATGCCCGTCTCCCGGTTCCTGCCACCCCTGTTCCCCCTGGTATCCGCTCGTCTCTTCTCTGCATCTGTGTCTCCATCTCTGCTTTGTGAATAAGATGGTTTATACCGGCTTTTTTCAGATTCCACATATATGTGTGAATAAATGACATCTGTTTTTTTCTTTCTGACTTATGTCACTCTGTATGACAATGACTGTCTCTAGGTCCATTTATGTCTCTATAAATGACCCAATTTTGTTCTTTTTAATGGCTGAGAAATATTCCATTGTGTGTGTGTGTGTGTACGCGCACACACACACACAACCCCCCACATCTGTATCCGCTCCTCTGTTGATGGACATTTAGGGTGTTTCCATATCCTGGTTATTATAAACAGTGCTGCAGTGAACATTAAGGCTCGTGTGTCTTTTTGAATTATGGTTTGTTTTTTCTGGGGATATGTCCTCCAAAAGAGTTTCTTTTCTTAATTTAAAACATTATGCCAGCAAAAACTATGGATCTAGAGATCACTGCACTAAGTGAGGTAAGTCAGACAAAGACACATATCATATGATATTACTTGTATGTGCAATCTAGTTTTAAGAAAAAGATACAAATGAACTTATCTACGAAACAGACGCAGATTTACAGATACTGAACACAAACTGTGGTTCCCAAAGGGGAGACGTGGCGGAGCTGAGGATGTACAGGGGCTGCCGCCGCCATGTAACACAGGTAACCAACAAGGACCCGCTGAACAGCGCAGGGGACGCTGCTCAGCCTTCTGTGATGATCTGTACGGAAAAGGAATAAACATGTGTACACGGATAACTGAATCACTTTGCTGGGCACCTGAACTAACACGACACTGTAAGTCAACTCTACTCCAATAAAAGGAAGATATTTTTGAAAATATTATGGCGTTAAATTTGGTGAAGAATCAAAAACTGTGAAATGGAAAGTTTTAATTTTTCTGAAGAAACAGTCTAGAACTCATGAAACTCAAATAAATGTAACAACTCAACACAATTCAAACTCACGAAGCGCCTCACACCCTTCTCTGCCCATGTGTCCTGATCTGGCCTATGGCGAGTCACCCCCTGGCACGCTTGCCACCGCCCAGCCTGGCCCGGCAGAGACCCAGCCCCACGCACAACGGGGCCCCTCTTCTTCACCTGCCTGTCTGTCACCGGATAGCAGTTGACTCAGGTTGTCATGGGAATCCATACAGATTTATGCCAGAAAATCGGATTTGCTATGTGCACACTCAAATTATCTGTAAAAGGTAATACAGTCCAAATTCCTCCTTGGTCTACTGAGGAACTAAAAGAATGACATTTAGCAAGCTGTCCAAAGTTCAGAGTCACCAGGACTAAAGCCTGGTATCAGGACCAGTGCTCCCTCCATGCGAGCTTGCCATGATGGCTCTGCAAGAAGCAAAACACACACCTCAAAATTCCCAAGACGTCAGTAATACCTAATGGAAGCATTTGCTCTTTTTTTTTTTTTTTTTATTAGCATTTGCTCTTTTTAAAACCAAGCATCTTTTTTCATTGTTTAGAATGTCAGCACTGACATCCCTGGGTTTATTTATTCCCTTACAACTAACATATGGCATTCACGACCAGATGGACTAAAAAAAAGCACCTTTAGCTGAACCAAGCAAGGCTAGTTCTGACTTCAAGGAAGATGCTGAGACCTTGCCTAGGCTAAAGAGAATTTTCTCACATTATTTAAATAATTGTTTGCTTAGTTTCTAGCTACTTTAATATAAGAACTGAATAGAATTACTTAGCTTACTTTTGAAAACCATTATCCAAATAGATTTGAACAAGAAGGAGGAAGGAAGCTAGCTAAGAGTAAAGTGACTACCCCATGCTACCGGGTAACAGAGTTAGTTAAAACTGCCCTTGGGTGAAACAAGCCAAGGTTTGGAACTATAAGGCAATGGTGAGTTTGGTTTTGTTTCTGACATTGTCATGAGTTTCTCTGAAATCTTCTTACTGCCCTAAAATGGTAAACGAACATCCATTACCACTCTATACTCACTTTAGTCTTAAAATATACAAAGTCTGAAATATTTTTATACAGTCATGTTGAAAATTTATGACATCAATATTTAGTGTAGTATATCTGTGATCACTTTTAATTTAATATTCTTCACGCTACATAAAGCCTCTAGAATAAATACACTTCCTAATCAAATGCAACCCCTGTCGCTAAGATTGCTAGACCCCCCAGTGCAAAGTTTCCGAAGCGGCATCTGCCCGTTCACATTATTTTAACTTGGAATTATACAAAAGTGTGAAACCTTGTCAAGTCGCCCTGGAATTTTCACCTGATCGGTCTCTCAGATAAACTGCATTCTGCAATGCTGGCTTTTGCTTAATAGAGTTATGATTCACTGCAGTTTCCTCAGTGAATCTGAATAGAGGTTTGTTACGCAACATCAAATCTCTTAGGTTTTCCCCCAAATTAATCAATATTTTGAACACAAAATAACTCTGTCAACACTTTTGATATGAACAAAATGTTTACATTAATAAAATTTTCCATCAGAATAATGTGAAAATAAATCTTGATTCGCAGGTTAGAGCAGTGCTGCTCAGCGACGCCAGGACAGATGGGACCCAGCAAGCCAAGCCCTGACAGAGGGCAGGGGGCAAACATGTCCACACAGGGGCCCCACCGCGCCAGCCCCACACCCTGCACCCAGCCCCCAGGTCCCATGTGGTCCAGGGCAGGTGGGGCAAAAGCGAGGCCTGTGTGACCCCAGGGGCCATTCTCACAGGTGCCGGATAGATATTCTTGAATGACAGGTCCCTTCCCACCATCTGGCATGAGAAAAATGAAAGAGAATTTCCTATAAAGTATAGAAAGCACCAGGACAGGTTTTATTAGTTTCTCAAAACTACCCTATCCTCCTAAAGACTCTTAATCACTGAACTGGAAGGATCCCTCCACCTCTGCTCCCCCTACAATCCACTGGTCCACCTACATGAAGAAGAACCTGAGGGAGAGGAGAGGAGGAAGAACCCACACGGAGTCGTCTATTCTTAGTAGTTTCCACATCCTTGGAGGAGGAAGAAAACAGAACTACTCAAAGACTTGAAAAAATAGGAAGCTGCTAATAGGAAAAAAGATTTCTTGGCTGAATCAGACAGAAAACACTTGAAAACCTCCAAAACAGCCCCACAAAGGCAAGATGGGTACAGATCACAACCACCTCGGAGGAGGAGGACTCTGGGACCCAGTCTCCCCTGGAATTCCACGAGCATCCAAGTGCCCAGGGTGGGGCAGGCTCAGCACGAGGAGCAGTGGGCAAGGAGTGGAGGGCCCGCTTTCCAGAGCTGCCCGCGGGGGGAGTGGACACGAGCAACGTGAGAACTGCCCAAGGGAGGCACACGGTGACGTCGGGGACACCACCTGCTCGGGTGCGGGCATGCCTCATCTGAAGGAGCGGGAGAAATTCACGATTTCTGAAATTCTCAAAGCGGCTCATGCGGAACATCAACTCAGTTTCTGGTTTTATAGGGAAAAAAAAAATCCCATGATCATCCTAGGGCATCAAACATTTTGCTATACTTCTGCTTGATTTTAATGAGTGTGTGTATGTATATATAATTAGTGTATATATATTTATACATATATTAAGGGTATAATATGTACATAAACATATACACTAACATATTTAGCACAAGGATGTATGTACATATACAAATATAATAATATACTATATTAACAAATATTAGTGCTTGATAAATACTAATAAATATTAACTGAAAGAGTGGCTGGCCAGAGCTTAGAAAATATGTTCATTGGAAAGATACTTTTTGGGAATTCCCTGGCAGTCCAGTGGTTAGGACTCTGCTTTCACTCCTGAGGGCCCAGATTCAATCCCTGGTCAGAAACTAAGATCCCACAAGCCATGCTGCATGTCCAAAAAAAAAAGATAGATACTTTTCTTCTCACATTCTTTTCCAAGGGACAAACTAAAACCTCCAGAGTAATTCACTTTCATGCATTAAATTACATTTCAAAAGTATCTTTATTAAAAGTGATATAGGAGCTGTTTTTCAACAACTCATAACAGAAGCCCTGTTCTAAATTAACAGCATAAACAGAACTTTTAGTGGAGCAAATCTGAATGTAGAAAACAAATCTGTTGTAACAAGCCACACTACTCCTAGTGATGAATGACAAAACTGTCCAGTGCTAATAGACATTCTCCAAGTTTGAGGCAGAACAAAAAGGAAAGCAATGTTCTAGGAACTGTGGGTTGGGACTTGAGGTTCCAGGCTAAGAAAGATTCCAATACCCTGGGCAACAAGACCTATGGCTGGAGGGGAGGCGGGATGGGAGCCCAGAGGCCAGGGCTCAGATACTCCCCTTGGCACCCTGGGGTGGGTTTCGGTGAAACAGAGGGCTGGGGGGAAAGAAGGAACAAAATCCTGTCCTGAGGTTTTAACATTTCACAATCGATGTCTCAATCCCCCAGCGTATCAAAGGCGTGTCTTCAGGGCGCGGCAAGCCCAAGCCCCATCCTGACTAACCCCTCCTCTGTAAGCTGGGAGTTCAGGGACACAGTTAAGGTACAACAGTGGAGTCTCTCAGAAGACAGGAGTCACCTTGTCTCAGATGTCCTACCGCTGACCACAGGCTACAGGGGAAGTGTGTGAAAGGGGTACTTGTGCTGACGAGGATCTGAAGACCCCTGCAAAATAACCCTAATTAATGAATTTTGTAAAATGCCATTTTGTAACATGAAGGAAGTTCCCATGTGGCTCAGAGGTAAAGAATCCGCCTGCCAACGCAGGAAATGCAGCTTCTGTCCCTGGGTTGGGAAGATTCCGGAGGTAGAAACGGCAACCCACTCCAGGAGTCTTGCCTGGGAAACCTCATGGGCAGAGGAGTCTGGCGGGCCACAGTCCATGGCGTCACCGAGTCGGAGACGATTGGGCAACTAAACAACGGCAACAAATAAACACAGGCTGGGCTATGAAACTTTATCATTTTTAATTGAATATCTTTTTTTTTTGACTTGCCAAGATACCTTCCCTCCTTCAATTAAAGTAATTTTTATTCTCCTAAACCAAAGAACAGCTTTAATGAGATCATACTGTGGGATCCACCGCAGGCTTATCACACAGGTGCCCGACACACGTACTCTGATACTCGTAAGGAGGACGTGAACAGGGGCCAACAGTCCAAAAGCATGCTGGCTTTTCTCCCTGGGGCTTCATCTCATCTAAACTCCTGGGGAACTGAACACCTTGCAGTTCACTAAGGCACTTGCTTTAGAGACCTGATTATTATTTTAGACTCTTTTTTTGACCATATGGCATTTGGAATCTTAGATCTGAGATGAAGGTTCAAACTTACGCCCCCCGCAGTGGAAGTGCAGAGTCTTACCCACTGGATCACCAGGACGTGCTGAGGCCTGATTAATTAGACTCTTAGCTAAGGCATTTAGATAACATGATTCCATTAAAACAACAACAAAAACCAGCGTCTCCCAAGATCTAAAAAGCAGAAATGTTCTCCACCTGAAAGGTTACTTCAAAGGCTCCTGACGCAGTTCCTCTGACAGGTAATTTAACCTCAGTTCAGTGAGTGACCCCCCCTGGTTCTGGAGGAAATCTCTGAAGTCCGCATGCTAACCTCCTCACCGCCCCAGATTTCCCCACGTTCCACTGCGTGCCCACTAAGCAACGGGGTCCAGAAACCACGGGACCTGCCCCCCGTCCTAACTGCTTGTCATCTTCGCCCACCACCCCCAAAACCGACAGCCGTATCACTTTCCAGGGGCTCCACAGCTAGTCAGACACTTCTGAGCTCCTGCTCCAACCTGCAAGAGGTGGAGGCTGCCCTGCTGAGGGCTCTGGGCTGGGGCAGCAGCCGGACACTGAGAACCCACAGCCCCAACAGCCCCACAGCCTGGGCAGGAGACGGGCAGCACCAGCGACCCGGCAGGTGGCGCCGACGGATTCCTGCAGGTGCGGGCAGGCAGGCTTTGGTCCGCCATCCTATAACTAGTTTTGCTGGAATACAGCCATGCTCCTTGGTTTACTCATCGCCTCCAACAGCGGAGGCGTCGGGCTGGCCCACAAAGCCTAAAACATTTACTATAAAAAGTGTGCTGACCCCTGGTCTGGGTTGTCAGCAGCCCTGCCCTCTCTGGGCCGTGTCCTGGCTTCCGCCCAGGTGGTCAGCTTCTGCATGTGCCCGTGGGGCGGGAACAGCAGTGCCCACAGCCCACCATGGGCCATGAGCACGTGTGGTACTCATGGAGGAGGCAGGTGCAGGCACAATGTGGTCTGAATCTGCCCCCACCCGGCAAACACCACATTCCTTCTCCCTTGTCAGGGACGCGTCCAGAGACGCCCCACCCTTCGGCAGCACAGTCTCCAGCACTTTCCTTAACCCCCTCTCCATGAACACCCAGTTTCAGGCACCCTCTCACCAGAGATGCAGTGTGAACCCCTGTACATAACAGATGCTCAAAGTGCTGCCGCCAAACCCAGCTCAATCCGCCTGGTGGGTTAATGTCCCCACCCTTCCATGTGAATTCAGACGTGGACAAGCCAGGTGGAGCCAGCGGCAGAGCATCCGCCTGCCAATGCAGGAGCCGCAGGGGACACGGGTTCCAGCCCTGGGCTGGGAAGAGCCCCTGGAGTAAGAAATGGCAACCCACTCCAGTATTTTTTGCCTGAGAGATTCCATGGGCACAGGAGCGTGGCAGCCTACAGCCCACAGGGCCGCACAGAGTTGGACAGGACCGGGCAACGGAGCACACACGCGTATCAGTAAACACGGCCTGAGAACCCAGTAGGTCCTGGACGCGCAGCACCACAGCTTAACACAACACACAGGAAGTCTAATCTTCCACTTGGATTTGTCTGCTAAATAAATGAGGTTAAGAGTCCGATTATCATTTTGAGGTGATAAAATTGCTCTGGATGAACAACTGGGAATATACAGAAAACTACTGAACTGTGCGCTAGAAGAGGGTAGAGCTTACATTATGCAAATTATCTCCCAAAAGCTGTTATTAAAATTTTTTCTATAGCTAATTATTTTTTTAAAAAACAGCAATTTCTTCATTTTTCTACATCTAGCATGTAACAAAACGCCATATCTAATCCTGGTGAATGGAAACCGTGCAGACTACAGTAACTGGGCTTCGTAACACTGCTGTTCAGTTGCTCAGTCGTATCCGACTCTCTGGGACCCCACGGACGGCAGCCCACCAGGCTCCTCTGTCCTCTGCTACCGCCCGGAGTCTGCTCAAACCCATGTCCAGTGAGTCGGTGCTGTTATCTAACCATCTCATCCTCTGCGGTCCCCACCACCTTCTCCTCCTGTCCTCAATCATTACCAGCATCAGGGCCTTTTCCAATGAGCTGGCTCTTCACATCATGTGGCCAAAGTATTAGAGCTTCAGCATCAGTTCTTCCAATAGATATTTGGGGTTGATTTCCTTTAGGATTGACTAGTTTGATTTCCTTGCTGTCCAAGGGACTCTCAAGAATCTTCTCCAGCACCACAGTCTAAAAGCATCAATTCTTTGGGCTCAGCCTTCTTTATGGTCTAACTCTCACATTCATACAAGACTACTGGAAAAACTATAGCTTTGACTTTTTGGATCTTTGTCAGCAGAGTGATGTCTCTGCTTTTTAATACGCTATCTGGGTTTGTCACAGCTTTCCATCCAAGGAGCAAATGCTTTTTATCTCATGGCTGCAGTCACCTTCCACAGAGATCTTGGAGCCCAAGAAAAGAAAATCTGTCACTGCTTCCACTTTTTCCCTTTTTATTTGCCATGAAGTGATGGGATCAGATGCCATGATCTTAGTTTCTAAATGCTGAGTTTTAAGCCAGCCTTTTCACTCTTCTCTTTCACCTTTACCAAGAGGTTATTTAGTTTCTCTTCACTTTCTGTCATTACCATGGTTATCATCTGCATATCTGAGGTTGATATTTCTCCAAGCAATCTTGATTCCAGCTTGGGATTCATTCGGCCTGGTATTTCTCATGATGTACTCTGCATATAAGATAAATAAGCAGGGTGACCATATCCAGCATTGTCATACTCCTTTCCCAATTTTGAGACAGTCTGGTTCAAACTGTTGCTTCTTGATCCACATACAGTTTTCTCAAGAGGCAAGTAAGGCAGTGAAGTATCCTCATATCTTTAAGAACTTTCCACAGTTTGTTGGGATCCACACAGTCAAACACTTTAGCGCAGTCAATGAAGCAGAAGTAGGTATTTTTCTGAATTCCCTTGCTTTTTTCTATGATCCAATGGATGTTGGCCATTTGACCTCTGGTTCCTCTGCCTTTCCTAAATCCAGCTTGAACATCTGGAAGTTCTAGCTTCATGTGCTGCTGAAGACTAGCGTGAAGGATTTTTAGCATAACCTTATTTGCATGTGAAATGAGCACAAGTGTGCAGTAGTTTGAACAATCTTTGGCATCCTTCTTTGGGACCAGAATGAAAACTGGCCTTTTCCAGTCCTGTGGCCACTGCTGAGTTTTCCAAATTTGCTGGCATATTAAGTACAGCACTTTCACAGCATCATCTTTTAGGATCTGAAATAGCTCAGCCGGAATTCCACCACCTCCACTAGCTCTGTTTGTAGTAAAGCTTCCTAAGGCCCACTTGACTTCGCACTCCAGGATGTCCGCCTCTCGGTGAGTGACCACACCACCGTGGTTATCCAGGTCATTAGGGCCTTTTTCTGTACAGTTCTCCTGTGTATTCTTGCCACCTCTTCTCAATCTCTTCTGCTTCTGTCAGGTCCTTACCATTTCTGTCCTTTATTCTGCCCATCCTTGCATGAAATGTTCTCTTGATATCTGCAATTTTCTTGACGAGATCTCTGCTGCTACTGCTACTAAGTCGCTTCAGTCGTGTCTGACTCTCTGCGACCCCATAGACGGCAGCCCACCAGGCTCCCCCGTCCCTGGGATTCTCCAGGCAAGAATACTGGAGTGGGTTGCCATTCCTTTCTCCAGGGGATCTTCTCAACCCAGGGATCAAACCCAGGTCTCCTGCATTTTTGCAGGCAGGTTCCTGACCATCTTAGCCACCAGGACTCTATCAAGTTGTACTTCACGCCTCGTGAGCTGAACCTCTTATTACCTGTAACAAGGTGTAACTGTGAGGCTGCACCCAATATTGCTAGGTTGTTCTGCCCCAGGGAGCACAGTATTGTGACCTTGATCCAACAGGTGATGATTCAGGTTCACCCTTGGTGACCACCGGGCCGTAAGCTTCTCTGGAAAACACCTCAGACAGGAAGAGTGCCGCTATGGAGGCAGAATTCCTCTGGGCCCACAGGCCGCATGCCCCACGCACAGGGCACTGGTCCCTCAGGATGCCACGTGGTCTGGGGGCAGAGCTGCGCCCTCCTCCACCCCACCCCCGAAGCCTCCAGCACACCGGGCTCAATGAAGGGTGGAGGAGAGGAGGAGGGGAGGCAGGAATATTCACAACTGAACACTGGAGCGCACGACTCCAGCCACTATGGGAGGTCTCCTTGGATAAAAAGGAAAGCGGAAACGGTGGCCGAGAGTGCACCTCAGGAGGGCGGCTTGCAGGCCTCTGGCCCCCGAGCCGCTGCACCCTGCCTGGGGCCCTGACCAAGCGGCCTCACCTGTCTGGGCCTCTGGCCCCCGAGCCGCTGCGCCCTGCCCTGGGCCCTGACCAAGCGGCCTCACCTGTCTGGGCCTCGGTCTCCTCCCCCGGGAGCTAAAGGACTGTGAGGTGCCGACTCCTGACCAGGCACCGCGGGCCGTACACCCAGCGGCAGGAGCCTGGAAGGTCAAGTCTCCTTCAGGACTGAAGTTTAAACTATATGGGCCGAATGTCTGTCAACAGCGAGGAGGAGGGTGAAGTGTCCTCCAGGAACCCAGGGACTCTCTCAAGAGCTGTCCTTGCCCGGGGGCTGCCTCAGATCCCAGCCCCCCGGGCAGCAGGCTGTCTAGACTCCTTTCACAAAATAGGAGCAAACAGGCATTTCAGTCCCATGCAGTCAAGATATCAGTAGAGTTTCAATGCACAGGGGAACTGATATTCAAACAAACAGGCTGCACACACTTCCAAAACCAGCAATGAAGATACTAGGCATATCAGGCCTGTGCTTATTATTTTCACAAGCTTGGCATATTGAATGCGGGTCTTTCTAACTGGGGCCTCCCTCTCCAAAACCAACCTCTGGGACATCCAGGAAGCAGAAGCAGATGGGGCCGCCTCCCTGGAGCCGGGCGCTCCCGGAGCCCCGTGGCGTCGCTGGAGAGCGCCTCGGGTGGACATAGCACGCAGGCCCGCACCCGCACACGGGGTGGCCACCACGCTGGGGGCCTTCAGGACGGCCAGCCCACGCCACGCTGCCCACTGGCAAGCCGAGGTACAGGACACTGCACACGCACGCACGCAAGTCGGAAAACCATCTCTCAGCCGGAGTCTGTCACCAGGAACCGAGAGAACGAGGCGATGAAGGCAGAGGAAGACCAGAGCCGGAGGCACAGCTCTGGTAACAGAGAGGGGGACGCGCGGCTCCGGGGAGGCTGCGTTCATTTACACTCATCGTGAATGCAGGCTCTCGGCTGGAACATCTCACTTAAAATGCCAGAAGGTTCAGAACCCATTCATAAGCTTTCCAGAATGCATGCAGTCACCATGGCAACCCTGACATTATATTTCTTGGCCGCTGCACATATAAATTACCACCCATAATGCATTTAATACAGTTTGGGGCCACCAATTCAAAGCAAAATAAACCTGAGTTCTGACTCTCAGCCTGCCTCTTAGATAAACAAAGAGGAACAGCTGGAGGGAGATCCAGCTGGCCCCAGGATGGGACGGGGCTGCACACACGGAGATGCTCCACTGAAGGTCCACGAGAACCAAGGACCCCAGACCTCACCATCCAGCACCGGACAGCTGTGATTCTGTAAAACAAAACATTCCACGCCAGATCAATGGAACTGTCTTGTTGCTCCTTACATTAAAGATACAGCACATTACATCCATAGCTACATCCCTGAAATTCGACCGTGGCTGTTAGCAAAGCAAAGCAAAGGCAGATCCCTTTAAACAACATCTTTTATGATTCATTTCGAGCACATCTGTCAACACAAATAAGGTGGCTGTTCACACTGTCCTTAGTAAGAAACCAAAGTTTTTCTCTCTCAGGTTCAGAAGACATCTACTCAATCATAATTCTTTGCCTTCATCAGGGATACTGATAAATATTTAAAATACATATCATGCATGGTTTACAAAGTCCCTTACCTTCTCATGATCCACCGTGAGCAGAGAGAAGGAAGCAAAACCGCCGTGCAGACTGCAGAGGCATCTCCAGCCACACGCCCCCCAGCAGCCCACTGCATCAGTAACTTCACAGACCTGCTGCAGGACAGGCCTGTGCTGGCCACAGTGCCCACAAAACCCACCTCCGTCTTCACCACTGGCCGGCTACGTCCAGGGGGGCATCGCCTTCTCCGCCTCCTCCTTCAGACTGCAGGCCGCGGGCAGTGGCTGTGGAGGGGGGCCGAAGACCTCCCCGCCGGTTGCTGCCATATTAACAGGCACTTTGGTAGCCGCTGCATTGCAGTCTTTCTGAAGCAAGGCACCAAGCTCAGAAGCAGGAACGCCGGAGAGAGACTCCCCAGCACAGGAAGCTGCCTTCTGAATCACAAAGATTTTCTAAAGATCTTTTAAAAAATAAACGTTGCAAAAACCTGGGGTGGTGGGGGGGGTGCGGAGAGCATTTCTAGATTTCCAACCTGTTTCCTGCAGGCTGGCGAGTTCGTGGCTTTCACTGGGGGACGGCTCTGACCATGTGCTGTGCTGGGTGGAAATGCGGAGAGGAATGAAACGCGCTTGGCGACACACCGTCTTCACTGCTCAAGCGCCCCGGTGAGAACCTGCACCTCCGCTGCCTCCTGCAGCCCTGGTGCCCGAGGGGAGCCCCGGGTGGCCAGAGGACTCAGGCCAGGAGGTGCGGGCGCTGCGGGTGCCCGGGTGGCAGCAACCACCCTCAGCGCCCAGCTACCGCCTCCAACAGCGCCCTTGAGAGACTGAACTGCGACCACACAGCCAGCCTCGGAAGACACTGAAAATAGTGGCGCGCTTACCAAGTGACCTTTAACTTTCACTGCTTCATTCGGTTTACCCCGTGAGCCTTAACCACGTGCTGTCTGTGAACAGCCACCATTCTGCTGGCGAGGGCCCGCCAGGGGTGACACCCACAGGCCAGGTCATCCTGGCATGGGGGCTGGGGGGCGGGAGGGCGGGCTGGAGGGGGACCGGGCTGGAGGCGGCCCGGGGTCCAGGACAAGGCTCGGTGACAAGGAACGCCTCACAGGAGCTGATAGACATGCACCTCTGGGAAAAAGGGGAGATGAGAGCGGCATGCCCTCAAAATGGTGCAGTGCCCACACACATCTGTGACCCCCAGCGAAAGTGGTTTCTGCCCTGAAGCCCATGGGACCCTCACCGCCACCACCAACGCCTGAAAGACACCCAGGCACCCGGTCCTGAAGCACACGGTCACCCTGAGCACCTGGCCACCAAGCGCAGGGGGCAGAGACCGAACCGAGTGGGGGGCCCTGCACCAGGCTCCCCATGCTGCCACCCCTCGGAGACGCCAGCTGTCTGCCCTGGCTCCAGCCGCTCCCCACCAAGCCCCACGCTGAGCCAGGGCCCAAGGGCAGGTGTCCCTCCTCCAGGGACACGAAGCGGCCCGTGGTTGCCAGCAGACATCCACTCTTCTCCCGGGTGGGGGTCCTGCTCCGCCTTCCCTGCCCACCTGGCTCCCCTCACGCCTCCAGCTCTGGACTCTCCTCCAGGAAGCCCTCACCACTCCACTCCCTTCCCACCGCAAGCAGCAAGGCCCTTCCTCTGGGCTCCCATCTGCCCTGGAAGTGACCACGCCATGAGAAAATGAGGCTGAGTGCCCGCAGGGCCCAGCATCACTGGTGCGCGGGGGCGGGGGGTCCAGGACAGACCCCTGGCCCCCCATTGGGGGATGCCCCCTGGCCCAGAGGATGTCAGCCACCGCCCAGGTGGGAGCCCCAGTGTCACCCCACGGGTCCAGGGGCTCCCCCTGGGGAAGAGGGTGCTTCCAGGGTCTTCACTCCGGGAAGCAGGAGGGAGCACATTTATGGAAACACCACAGCCTTCCCACCCCATCTCTCCCCAGGAAGGTGTGGTGTGAATAAATGAATATCCTGAATCAAACCAGATCACCTCGAGTCAGCTCTGACTGGCTGGATAACTCACAGCACGAGGTGGCTGATCAGAAGGGAAGGCAGAGGCAGCGTGGGGACACTACGCTTTACAGACACTCACTGGAGTGGTTTAATGGACTCGGAGGAACTTCCATCAAACGTCTCCGGGCACAGTTGGGAGCTCCCCACAGACTCTCCCCTAGACGCTGCCTTTCAGATCGGGGATCAAGGCTGCTGTCTGCAGCCGCACGCACCACTGTCTGACCACCAGAACCCAGCGCTCTGGCTCAAGCGGGCTCTCCCAGGAGGGTCTGGAGGAGGGGGCAGGGGTCTCACCTCAACACTCTGTGCCCCCTGGAACAAGCAATACCTCAAGACGGGCCGGGGAAGCTGCCCGGGGCTGAGACCCAGGCCCCCAGTCCAGCACCGAGAGTGCTTTCAGGGCAGTGCCCTGGGGGAGACAGTGCCTCCAGGCCCAGGGGAGGAGGGGGAGCAGGCCACGGGACCACACAGGACCGCCTGCCAGGGTCACTGCCTGAACACCAGGGTGGCAAGCCAGGCCCCCATCCACCCGTGGAGCGGCTTCCTGCTGTCTCCTCCATCCACTGAGCGGGCAGCCAGGCTCCAACACGAGGAGCAACGTCAGGTGCACGACTGGGCGCCGGGCACATAGCCCACTGCCTCTCAGCCTGGAGCTGGGGCAGGGCAGGAAGGGCGCCCCATCTCCCTCTGACACAGTCCCCCCAACTGACCGCTCGCTCCTTCTGATTCTGGAACTTCCTGCCGACAGAAAAAGGCTTGTCCTATGAACCTTAGTGTTGATTCGATTCACTGCTATAACACACGTGAAAAGTTGCTGAAAGCACAGGCTTCTCAAAACGTAGACACAACCGTTAAAAAAATAAAGCCCGCATCCACAAAGCACTCGATCATTTCTCCAAGCTTAACTAAGTTCAAATACATGATGAGAGACCTGAAGGGCTCTCTCCATTCACTGAAATGACCACACAGAACCTGCTCCTTTACTAAACAGCAGTGATGACATTCACAACCTACTCAGGCAATTAGCTAATGCTGTTAACGTACATTTACATGAACTCCATACAAATTATGAAAACTTCCCTGCAGGTCTCATTTGGACACTTGCCAAAATGCTCAAGAGCATCCCGACTATCTTAAGGTGTTTATTACTTCAAAATAGCCAACCGAGTTACCAAAGGTACCCTGAAAAGAGCCAAAGGAGTGAGCGTATGCTGCCTGAAGGGGAAACACAAACCACTCACTCAGCCACCCCGTGGCAGCCGGGGCCAGAGAACAAAGGGTGTCCCTCAAGAAAAGCGGGGGGAAGAAAACAAGAAAAGTATAAAATACAGGTAAGGGTTAGTTGGCTTAGATGCGGAACAGACTTAATTAGCTGCAGAAAGTCTTCGGCGACACTTACTTGGTGAGTGTCAGATGTGATGTGATCTCAGGAAAGAAGGGGCTTCAAACATGAAACAGGAGCCAACAGGTCACCAACAAAGGGCAGAGAGGCCCCAGTTACAAGCAGCAAAGCTTCTTTACACATTTAAATGGGAACCTGGACAGTACAGCAAAGAAGCATCCCCAGCTGATGCCAACACCTCCAGGTCTGCACCCGAGACACGAGGATGTCCACCTCACCAACGCCTGCAGGTGGGTGTTCCGGGGCATGCTGTTCACGACTGCCAGAAAGGCAACGCGGCACAGAGGCACCAGCGGGCTGAACGAACACCGCCCCAACACACAGGTGCACGGTCCAGCCACGAAAAGGAGCAGCCTACCCACACACAGCGCAACACGGGTGAATCCTGAACACATGATGCTGCAAGCAAGAAGCAAGACACAAAAGACCACGTGTTGTGTGCTCCAGGTCCCATGAAATGTCCACAGCGGGCAATGGCCACACGGCTCTGTGAATATACTAAGCACCGCTGGACTGGACGCTTGGAGCGGGTGAACTGTGAGGTGTGTGGCTGCGCAATCGAGCACAAGGCCACATGTCTCTGACAGTCGGCCTCCCTTACTGAGATTCAGCTCTCCATCTAAAAGAAACGTAACAGGGAAAATGTCATGAGTCTTCATTTTGCCCCCCACTAAAATGCATTATTCTTGGGGTGCCCCTTCTAAATAGTAGTGAATAAGCTTCTCACTGTTCAGAACTCACAACTGTTTTTGGTAACTCCTTCTCCCCCAAATCTCAGAGTCCAACAGTTTTGTAACAAGTAAATTGATTTGAGCTTTAATGTAAAATAGAAATCACACCTACATGCAAATGTAGCACTTTTAAACACAAGGGAGGATGCTAATTAGGGAAACTAGGCACCCCACCACCATCAC